GACCTCCCCGATATATTGACTACGAAGTTCTCACGGACCTTAAAATTTTTAGCGGGGTCAAACGCTATTTAAAGAACCTCAACTTGTTGAAGTTTGTATCCATTCGAGCCGACGCCTACGTGACACTTTGTTGGGAGTTCTACACAACGTTCAAACTCGAAGAGAAGGAAACTATTGTGCGGTGTCGATTGGATAGCAAGCCGGTGGAAATAGATCAAGCGTTGATGAAAGATCTTTTCGGGTTCACCTTTGAGGGGCCGACTTCCGTGCCAAAGGAGTTTGACTTGGCGGCCGCTTGGATGGAAATTTCGGGACTCCCGTACTTGAAGTTCATCGATGGTGTTACCGGTCACATCAAAGATCCCGCTCTCGCGGTCGTGCACAAGTTCATTTGCCACAACATTTTCGGCAAGAAGGATGGACAAAAGGTGAGCACGGACGACATTTTTATCCTTTGGTGTGCGGTGCACGGCAAACCCGTGAATTTGGGCGCGTATGTTTTGAAGAAAATGGCCCAAATTGTCAAGGTCAAGCGCTTCAAGCCGGTATTTGGTCATATGATTACGATCTTCGGTGAGTATTTTGGAGCCACATATGGTGGGGAATTCATGAAAAAACGGCCGATCACGTCACGTGAGCTAGTCCAAGCGGATCTCGCCATTAGCCGCTACGAGGTCAAACCACATCATACCCGAAAATGTGTTGAAGCCTATATCGAACGAGTGAAAGTCTACAAAAAGGGCAAAGCCGCTACAAGCGCCGAACGCATTGATCGAGAAGTGCTCCTCCCCTCCGAACCTCAACAAGGAACCGAGCCACAAGAGCCGAACCCCGACCAACCGACCGATGTCCCCGAACGCCAACCCAACTTCGATGAGATACACCAACCGATGGAGCAACCCAACACTTCCTCTACTCCTCAATGCCCCCAACTTCCGACCGAGCCCTCGACCACCGCCTACGAGGCAAACCCGTGGACCGGGATAGCCACACAATTGGCGAGCCTTGACCTCCGTATGATGAGTCGTTTGGATGGGATGTGGAAGCATATGCGCGCAATGGACAACCGTTTAGACGGGATGAGCTCCGAGATTACCACCATTCGAGGCGATGTGCACACGATGAAGGACCACATTGTATCGTTGGACACACGCCTCCAACAATACGAGCGAGAGAGGGCCGTCGGGCCAAGTTCTTCCATTCCACCGGACGAGACGCCAATGGACACACGGTGATTATTCACCGTGTTGAGTACGCACTTCTTTTTCTTTATTTTCTTTTTCTCTTTGTTTTCTTTTTATTTGTCTATGTGTTTTGTTTATTTTCTTTTCTAGCTATGTGTTTTAGTTGCTTTTCCTTTCTTTATTTTTGTTATTGTCCTATGTTTGAACGTGCATAATGATTTGTTCTTTCCGTATACTTGTTGGTTAAGCAATGAGGTCATTGCTTTGTTTTAAGTGTGGGGGAGGATTTTTAGTGATTGTGCATGTTTAGACGTTTGTTGTGTCTTGGACCGGTTTTGTTTTTGTTTTTTTTGTGTTTTTGGCGTCACTTCCCCGTCATGATGCTCAATGTGCGTTTAAAAGCTCAAAATGGTTAAGTGGTGAGATAAGTATGTTAA